ATGGGAAAGAGCAAAGGGAAAGCACCCACGGGGGCACAGCAAGATGCCCCCCAGGCGAAGGGGGGTCAGGGCAAGGCAAGGAAGGCCCGGGCAGCCCCAGGAGCTGGGCAGGGGAGGGCAGCCCCCGTCCCAGCGGTCAGGAAGGCGCCGTAGGGAGCCCTGGGCAGCCCTGCTTGCTGTGGGAGCCTGGCCCTGCTTCCCAGTGGGCCTGGGCCCTCAGGGTCTGGGTCGGTTTTAGTCCTCAGGACAAGTTTTAATTCTGTGTTCACCTCCTGCTAATAAAGTTGCTTCACTCAGCTCATGAAATGCCGTGACTGCTGCCCTGCTCGTGGGTCTCTGACCCTGCATTCCCATCTCCCACTGCCAAAATCCCACTGGCCCTGGCCTTGTCCGGCATGGCACGGTGGTGAGCTGGTGCCCGCTCGTGAGCGGTGCCCTGTCTGTCCCCATGTGTCCCTGGCTGCGGTGGCACACCTGGCCCACCAGCAGCATCAGGCTTTGGGGGCTGTGTCTGAGCTCCAGTGCTGGGAGGTGGCCCCAGGTGGGGGCCTGGGGACCCATGGGGGATGGCACGGTGGCACCCCTGGGCACTGACTGCTTGGCCAGCCCTGCTGGCGTGAGGCCATGGTGCCCGCAGCCTTGGTGCGGGGTGGGTGTCTGTCCGCACCTCCGCCCTCCTGGCTGCCCTTGTGCTAATGCCCGGCTGAGCTGGGATTACAGGAGTGCCAGGGCAGCAGGTCCGGGTGCATGCCGTGGGCAATGGTCCCCAGCGCTGGGGGGAGCTGCCTGTGCTCTAGCCATGGGAAGAGGGTGATGGAAGTGTTTTAGGGCTCAAAAAAGCGTTTAGGGTGTTTGCTACTGTAGACTGCAGCATTGCTCGTGCTCTTGTTATCTATTGGTGGCACGGTGCCCACCTTCAAACCTGTCTTCCTAGCTCCTGTGGGTCAATATATGAATGCTTTCATTTAATAGTTTAAAATGCCTGAATTTCTCTTGCTCTGCACAGAACAGAGCCCTTCTGAAGGTCAGCCTGATAATGCAAAGGGTTATAGTCCTCCTGGGCAGGAAAAAATAAGTGGAAGTAAAACTCTCTTCCTAAAGAGGATTTTGCTAATCTTCAGCTGGCCTTGCCAATGCCCTCCAAGGCTCCCGGCCTTGCTCTGGGGCTTAAGCAAGAGCTGAGCAAACTAACTTCTCTTTAAACTTCAGCCTTGGCCACGTTGATCCATCTCTAACGGAGCCAAAACTCGTGTCCCCCTGGCACAGGGCAGGGGATGGCACAGTAATAACCGAGCAGTGCTCCCCTGGCCCTGGGGCGATGGTTACCCCGACACAGCGCTGGGTGCTAGGGTGGAAATGTCCCAACGGAACTGGGCTGGGTCCTCTCACAGCGGGCACCCAGGGAGATACACGAGCCTTGCGCTGAGGGAGGCCAAAGCATTTAATGCCTGGATTTAGCTTTACTAAGAATCAACTTTCTAGTGGGAAAAGAAAATCCCTCTGGTGCCTGGAAAGGGCAGCTTTTACTGGGGGAGGCGGAAGAGAGAGGATTTAGCAATGCCATGGCTATTAAGGCTTAGGGGCTGCGGCTGGTGTCCCGGCACCGGAGCCAGAGGCCTCGAGGGCTGGCAGCAGCTCTGGGGCAGGGCGGGGGCGTGGGGCACCCCGGGGCTGGGAGAAGACACTGCCTTGTGGGCTGATGGCACCCGGCAGACGTAAGGGTGCCCAGGCACGGCCACGCTGTTACCGGTCTTTGCATGTGCAGCACACTGTGCGGTTGGCCCAGGCGCATGGCTGTGTCCTCCCCGCCCCAGCTCCTGTTCTGGGGGTGCCGGGTGGGGGGAGTGGAGCGTGGCTGTGGCGTGCCCCGCGGGAACCCAGGCCTCTGCAGCCTGGA